GGTCTCATAATGGGCTTATTAGCGGTTCCAATGGATCGGGCTTTGAACTCCGAGGGAGTGTTCATAATTGGACGATGGCAGCTGAGGGCGTCTAAACACCTTCCTTGAAATCAGGAAATGTTTTGTTTCACGGGGGGAGGGGATCGCAGTGACCACCAACTCCAAAATATCATCACCAAAAGCAATTAGATGTTCGTATCACAGAATTCCAGACTCTAGAAGATATTCGATACTTTGATATAGCACAGAATATGTCTATCTTCACAGGAGTATGTAGCAAATGAACACTTGGCTCTTCTATCATTTTCGGCGCGATGCTGGTAGAAATATGGACCTGGTTCGCTGCTAAGTTGCCACATTTGTATTCAAGTTCTAGTCAATGTAGCTAAACACATTTTTTTACGCTTCAGCTTTCAGGGTGTCCCTGGAAGCTTCTATCAGGCCAGCACCTCGATGATGAGGCATCATATTCGTGTTCACGCTCAGGTGTTCTGGTTTCGATCAGGATAAAAGACTTTTTACAACGATTTTCTTGCCATGATGGGGCGATTTGAATTCCGCAGATTAGATGCCAATAACCTTGAAAGAGATAGAAGTCTGGCCATCGATGCTTCCACCAACTGATTTCCCGGCCCAATTGCTATCTTTCGTGTAGAAGGAAAGCCCAATCTCTCCCTGTTTCTTCCCCTCAACTATGGCCACTCTCGTTCCAGGGTGCAAGCTTCCAACATATGACGATATTTGCCATTCCTCCGATTGTTGCGCACCCAGAAGGGCATTGTACACACCCTGTAAACTGCTCTTCTGCACGTCACCAACACGCCCAATTTCTACACGAGCAACACCCAGAATGCCGCTTGGGTGGTCAGTCGCGCCCGGTTCTTCAAATGGCACTCGGAGATTTCTCGGTGTACTGTCAAGACACCAAAATGGCGTCTGTCCCGGCTCAATGGGGGCGTCTTGCCCATCTTGTCGCTTGGGACCTGAGACTGCCCATTTCAATTCGGCGCCATCAGGCCTCAAACGACCGCCTCGGACGGGATCCGGGTAACGAATCTCGGGCTGGGAAGCGAGGACATCCTGTTGGATCTTGCGGAAAGCGGCAGCTCCGTGAATATCCTCCTTGTCATCTCCACTCTTCGCGGGGTTCAGAGTCAGGGCCCAATCGGCCACAGTGCCCTCGTGCTTGTGTCCCCATCTGTGGCCAGCTCTCTTGCTTGGGTCAACGCCTGGGGCAAAGGCGATGAGTTCTATATAGCTGCCATCCGGGAAGTGAACCAGAATGTTTTCTGTCACGCCATCTGCATGCTTGCCGCCCTGGGAGACTGTGAAGGCGTCTGTTAACCAGGAGGGGGGTGAGGCCAAGAATGGGTATGGAACCACAATGACAAAGTGGTCTGCCAAAGGCACAGCAGTCATTTTCCAAAGTTGATTTGTGGTGTAAAATATGGTTGAAATCTTATTTTTCGAAAATGCGAACGTTCTTGTCGCGTTGTAGTAGGAGATGGGGAAGCGAGGCCATTATTTATGCCTTCAGACCACATTTTGCTAAGCCGGCTCGGAGCACGTCATTCCCGCACTAATTGATGCAGTACTCCAAATCAGAGACCGATCAGTGGGCACAAAATCGGGTGGAGAGAAGCTGATGCTTCCTTGTATTGCGTCCTTTGATTTGATACATATTATATACATATTGAGCGATTTTAATGGAAGTGTCTACTTCGAAGCAGATCCTAAAGAGTGCTCGTGCCCGTGAATAGTAAATCTTCCCTTGATACCCTCTTTTAGCCATTGTTACATGTTTGATTCATCAAAATAGATATCAAATGGTGTATCTTTGTCTGAAAAGGTGATTTAATCTACAATTTTCACTATTCTATAACGGTAGCAGCCAAGTGATATTTTAATCATGCAGTGAGGGATATGCAGTACAACAGCGAGGTGGACCATGATACACTACTACTACACTATCCGTCTCCAAGCCGAACTGTACTGTGGTAAACCGAGAGTAATATGTCAGTCTCTTGAGATCATCATTGTACTAGTTTGAGACGATTTTGGAGACAATGTTGAATGTCATTCGAGAGATTCACTTGTTTAAAAACGTGGAACTGACCAATGAGAATCTTCCAGGCTTCTAGTGTGCAGTAATCTATATATATAATGAATTCGAGCGTCTTGAAGAGAAACGTTAGAAGAACCCTTCCAGTGCCAGCTGTACCTTTTTCGAAGTTACAGAGGATAGATAAACTCCTCATTCTCCAGATCTGTCAAGTCCAACACGGCAAGATCGACCTTGACCTTGACCGTCTCCCCATTCTCATCCACTTCCTCGACATAGGCATTGTTAGTCAGTCCTTGCGCGATCTTTTCCTTTCTGATCCTATTCCGACGGGCTAGGATGAAGTGGATAATCCAAAGAATAGTTGGAGTTCCGACCCAGCTCACCACAATCATCGAAGCCCAAGCCCCGTAATATCTCGGTTTGGCCGAGGGAACCCAGATTTGTGGAGAGACCAAATTACCTATGCTATATCCCAGCATGAACATGACGTTCCGCGTGAGTTTCTTGGTATACCCAGCAGCAGATGAGTTGGTCCAGCCAAGGGCAATGATGTAGGTGACGCCGTATGTGTGTGCCGAGAGGAACATACAGGCCAACAGAGCGATTGTGCGATCCCAAGGCACTGTGACCATCCCGATACCTCCAGCCACAGCGATCAAGCACCACACGGAGCTATGTAAGGCCAGGTTGTTGGGGAATTTCTTCAGGGCAAATGCAGCGACAATACAGTTGATGATGCCAAATCCGCCGCCGGCTACTGCAACCAACGTAGACTCCAGAGGCGTGACACCTAGTGAAGTAACGAGTAGATTCTTTTGTCCGTATGTCAGATTGTTGCAGTACATCAAAGTGAATGCTTGCAATGTAAAAAGCCAAGTAACTGGATCCCTAAGGGCTTCAATGACCTGGGAACGCTTGAACTGCTTTTGTTCGATGGAGCTTTGTTGCGACTCGTGGACACGACGAATGACATGTACCTTCTCCTCAAGCGTCAAGAATCGAGCCTCTGCCGGGTTGCTCGGGTACTCAATCCAGACCCAAATAGCAAGGAACAAAGTGATCCCGCCAGTCACGATGTGAAGAAGTTTCCATGGTAGTACCGGTCCGCTCGACCACAACAGCCCATAGGCAATGAATCCGGCCACAATAGGTGCTCCTTGGCATGTTATCCACAGAATAGGCTGCAAGAAAGATTGTTCTTGACGGTTGAAGAACATGCCGAGAGTGACTTCAATAGCAGGTACAATGACAGCCTCGGAAGCTCCAAGGGCAAGCCGAACGACAACCAAGCCCGCGTATTTAGTTGCCACGCAATGAAGAAAGATGATCACAGACCATGAGAATATGGTAGCGGCAACATATTTGCCAAAGGGAAGGCGCTGCATCAGATAATGCCCTGGCCATTGCCAGGCGAGGTATCCTTTGATCCTTTTAGCATCATCCTGACATCAATGAGCATCGAGCCTACTTACCAACATAGAACATTGTGTTGAGGTTATTATATTGAGCCTGGGTGATACCAGTCTCTTGGAAGAGGCCGAGAATGGCTGCATAGCCCAATGTTGACTTGTCAATCTATAAAATAGGAGTTAGTAACTAAGCCAATCCCTTCACCGGTCAGAGTAAACTTACAAATAACACAATATTGATAGCAGATACCAGCACAATAAGTCGCAGGTATAGCTTTCTCCGGAGCTTTTTCTCGATCTCCGGAGTCAGAGGTCCAACCTTATCGCCATGCTCCTCAAGGAGACGCAGTGTGACATCCGCATACTTTGCACTGACGGTCTTTCCGGCAGACAAATCCTCCACCTTGTTTTCGGCTTGTTTTTCCATTTTTACAGCGTAAAAATAACCCAAAAAAAGGGACACTTTGAAAATAAGAATGAAGTCTAGAATACACGAAGAGTGCCGGGTGGTAAGCTTTAAATATCGCGAGCAAGGGGACGTAATTCATAAAATAATCGGACAATCTCGGTGTCGTACCGCTGCAGAGATCCGCTGCACCAAGAGCCGAAACGTGCTTATTTCTTGCAGGATCCCAATTTTCGAAGAACCCCATCCAACCAACTTCTCTCTATCTGACGCCATCAACATCGATGATTGCACCAGCGAAAAGTGCAGGGTTCTCAGACGTAAATTCTCCAATTCACGCAATCAAGATCCACTTTGGTGCCAATAAGAACCAGTTAATTCCTACACACGAGCGTGTGGATCCAAGTTAAAGGTTAAGCATACTTGGCATCCCGGCAGTGGAGATGGCATGTAGTAAATCGACTGATGTTTGAAGAAAGTTTGGTCCGGTGGAAAGTAGCCTTTTACTTCCAGGGGCTGATATATGATAGATCTCACCTTGGAGAATGATGGTGGAAGGCCAAGACAAAATCCTTTAGGAAGTGTTAAGAAGAGAGGGTGGTTCAAACCAACCCATTGCTCAGCCACCTACTCCAAAATGGCAACCAAAAATATATTACAATGTTCTCGGTTGCCTCTTTCCATATGAGAAGATGCACAAGAATATTGGAAGGTCTCCGTCTTCAGATTATTCAGTGTTATTGGTCGCCCAGACCTTGGCGATGTCATCTCTCATGATCAGGTACCCGGACCGGCACTCGGGGCAGCGGATGTCCGGTATCCCGGTCACGACCGCATTCTTCTGAGCTTGAGGACGTCACCGTTCTCGCGGCTATCTTCGTGGCCACGTCCATATAGGGCCATGAACTACAAATATGAAAGAAACTGATGTCTTTAGAATCTCTAGAAATCCGGAATTTCTAACTGAGTACGCTCACTTATTCAACTCTGGGTTTGTAGTAGGCGAGTAAAGGCAGCAGAAACTGCTCCCTCACCATACGAGTCCTTATGGGGACTCGTCGCATTTATAACACTAATCACAACTCGGTTTTTATTGCATATGCAGAGGCTTTTTATTTCATTAAAAAATACCAAACGGCAGTGACTCTATGTTGAGTAAATTTTCCTCCGCGCTTTCTTCGGTACATCTTGCACAGTCACAAGTAAAGCGGAAGTGCACTTGTACATGTTCTTGTCTCTCCTCGAGGGTCGTAAACTTGGTCAGATCAAAATAGCTGATCAATGCTTCCTCTCCTGCGGAAATTTCGCGTGCAGCAGTATATACCATTCGCCCCTGTTCATCCGGTTTGTGTGAAACCTGGATCAATTAGTTAGGTAACAAAATGCGCAAAGCCCAATACACTAGCCGAGAAGGGGTGGAAAGCGTATTGGCATCACGAGTGGTTGATTACTTACATTTGGAAGGCAAGAATGATTAAACCTAGCGGCCCTCGGATACAAGCCCAGACCATATGAGTCACCTCTGGGAACAGGCTGATCGATCATATACAACGGGCCGGTCAACTTAGGGTAGAGAGCAAAAGTATTTGTCTCCTCCTTGCACACAATATCGAGTAGCTCCGCCGGGGTGAGAGACAATGGGGGAAGCGCCGTGCCAATCAGATACGTTTCAACAAGCCTTCTCCAGTGTTTCAACTGGGATTCCGGCCAAGAGGAAAGGTAGCTACAGCACATGTCGACAGCTTTCCAGTGGCGTCCCCAGTCTTTCTCCCATGAAAGTTGGCCTGGGGTTTGCGAGGGTTTGCATCTCATTTCAAGGTCACGCCCGGCAAGCAGACGAACAACATGCCAGAGTGTGACAAAGTCGTATTCAGTCTCTTGTTGACGCATTACACTAGCTTTCGTCTTCAACCACAAACACTCAAATTCATGTCGTAAGTAATCAGCTCGAAGGCAAGTGGCGTCACACCAAATGACTTCCCGTATGCAGTTATTAGGACATCGTACGCCCCCGATGCGGGGTCCATGTTGCGGAACATGTCGAGAACATGCCAGATTGCTACAAATAAGGGCAGCGCCGGGAGATGTGCTAGAAGGAATGATTGCGGAAGGGGTATCGACGAGAAGAACAGTACCGCTAGGGACAGGTCCCGTTACTCGAAGCAGCCTACCCCGGTCCGGGTCAGCGTCTGGCACAAGGTGTGGATGCACATAGAAACTCTTGTCCTGAAGATTAAGCTCATTGGCGCTCTTTTTCATGGCAGGCAACGGTTGTGGCTCACGCCTAGCAGGTAGAAGGCAGACTGACATTTTCACCTGCTTTGTAATAATAGCAAGAAAGTGTGGGAAATACTGTCTGAGAACATTTTGGAACGGACTCCGGTGACGCTAAAGTAAATTGATAGATAAGGAGACTTACATCCACTCGCTTTGCTAGTCGGCGAACCACGTTTTCCATCCTCGCTAGTGATTTGGCCACCAGAAAAGAGTCTCAAAGTGGTTAATTCAGCAATTCTAAGATCCACTGTGGTCTAGACCTGGACTTGGCTCCGTGATCCGATAGGAGCTAGCGATAACAGTATGCCGTTTAACGAATCGAGAACAAGTAAGATTGGAAGGATCAGTGACCGACATTTTGTCTCTCTGGTTCAGTCCATGTCTACAGAATATGTATCGGGATATCTCCAGACCCAACATTGATAAGACCATGGAGAAGGTGGTTTGAACTATCTAATCCGCAATTTCTTTTGACAGCTTGTAGGAAGGCTCTGCGCATAGTTGCAAGTTCCTTTTCCTTTTCACTCTCACGGGTGAGTTTGCTGATGAGAAAAGTGGCACCGATGGCGCCATGGTTAGCATTCTCTGCCGCCCAAATAGCGCGAAGGAAGCTCCCGGGTCTGCTGAGACTATTGGCAATATGGTAAGAAACAAACAAACCGATGACCATTGCTTTTTTCCACGTCAAAGGCCTCCAAGATTCTCAAACAGTCTTCCGTGCTTCCTTTTTTGCGGCATTACCCTTTTTCCGCTCTTTGAGTCGGTTGTGTCTCAGTCTAACCTGTCTCAGTCTAACTTGTCTCATCAGTTACACTAACTGTTTACGTACTTGTTAAATCACCACTTGGTCCAGCCAGCTTACAAGCGACATGGAGGCTTAGTAATTAATGTATGCGCCGAGGCAGAGAGCCTTTGCCCCGACACAGCAGCACAATTCCACGGGCCGAACCTAGCAATCGCCCTACAATGACTTTATTCTCAGATTGACACGTCGAGATCTCCCAATCTCACTACCGAGCGGTGTTGATGGTGACGGCGGCCTCTGCTCAGTGGGGCCTCCTGAATCATCATTGGTGGGCTTATCCCTCATGAGCCGGAGGATTACTTCCAGGTTTATGACTAAGCAGTTGCAAGATTCTTCAGACCTTTTTCGAAGACTCACCTACCCTAAACGTGGGCGAAGACGAACCAGCCACTTCGATCCCAGCTATCTTCTGCTCCTACAAGGGTTTTAGGTCGGCTGTTTCTCTCTAAAAGGAAAAAAACAAGGCATTATCTCGAAGAGGCTCTTTGTTGTTTATTTATCTAAAAATCATAGAGCTGTGGCATCAACCTGTTGAACCCTTCGCCTGACAAGAGTCAAATGTGCTATGCCTCGAAGCACTGTGTCCACAATCCAATCCAAAAATCAATTGAGAAAGAAAATCGCCAAGCATTTGCGCGTACGTAAGCAATCCGTCAGTCCCCGTCATTCAATTCCTGTCATTGCTGCACGAACTCAACGCGATAACGCGACGCGTCTTCATCGTCTAAGCTGCCCCTTTATCACCGCCCCGCTGTTCTTGGCTTTTGAATTCCGTCAATTGGACCGTGTCTACCACCTTCTCCACGTTCTTATCCACACGGTCTCTCACAGATTGATCTTCAAACATGAAGCTGAGTTCTTCCAACGATCGTCCGTGGGTCTCGGGGAAAAGCAACCAGATGGTGAAGATCTCAAACAGAACCCAGACACAGTAGACGATGTAATATTTCCAGCCTATGGAATCCAATGCGATGGGATTGACATATGTGTTGAAGAAGACGGCAAAGCGGACCATGAGCTGTTCGACTGCGATACCTTGTGCACGTTGCTGGTACGGGAAGATTTCCACCATGTAAGTGTAGGTCAGCGCGTTCCAGCCAATGTTGTAAAATCTGCAGCGAATATTAGCTTGATTTTCTGGCGAATGCTGCCCGGTGATACTTGCGGTGAATAGAGGAAGATGAAGACCAGTACGGGAATCGCCGCAGATCTGGTTTGTTCAATCTGAAATCTCGCCGACGCGATTGTCCAGACCACATATACCACCAGCGTACCAGTGGAACAGATGAGAAACATCACGCGACGACGGAATCGGGGTGCAATGAGAGCAATAGGTACGGCGTTGATCAGTCCCCAGCACTTCTCGCTCAGAATAACCTTTTGGACGGTCTGATTGTTTGTTATCCCCACAAGGTTGAGTATCTTCTTCATATAGAAGCTGATCAGTCCATTGCCAGACCACTGAGTGAAGAAGCCGACGATGCCGGCCAACATAAAGCGGCGGCGCATAGGGGCGTCTCGGAAAACGTTCTTCCAAACAAAGTTGGTTGCGCGTTCCTTTTCTTCAGCGAGGGTAGATTGGATCTGAGCATACTCTACACGGACATACTCTTCCCCGTTCTCGCCCTCGCTGTGGTATTTTTTCAGTATTTCCAGCGCCTCCTCATGTCGGTCACGGCTGATCAGCCAACGAGGGGACTCTGGACAGAACGGCATAAAGATAACTTGGCAGAGACTGGGAACAAGTTGGAGAAAGCTCGGGATTCGCCAAGCCCAAGTGCTGGACATCTGGAATGTGCCAAAGGTAACACCGGCGGCGAGGATGGCCCCAACGAACCAGCTTGCATTGAACAAACTCGTCAACGTAGATCGCTCTTTCTCGTATCCTAGCTCTCCCAACATAGAAGACGCATTCACGATGGCGAATGGGATTCCGAATCCGAGAACCCACCGAGATGCAAGAAACATGTGATCGTTGACCGAGCCGGCTGTAGAGAATGTTTAGATTAAGAGAAGATCAAGTAAGACACTGGGCCACATACTTTGTAATCCAGCACCTATCATCATGATAAATGAGCCAGTCAAAATGGTCCAGCGTCGGCCAAGATACTCGGATACCGTAGGAACAAATGGAATAGCCATGAGAGCACCGAGGGAATACATTGCATTGAGGAGGCCGAGGCGTGATGAGCTGGGATGGTTAAAATACTCCACCCAAGAATCAACAGCATTAAGACTGTTCATCATGGAGGAGTCAAACCCAGACGTCCATTCAACACCGAGGCCACATGGGACCAGGATCAGATACAAAAAGCGAAGGTTTGGTTTATTCCACCATCTGATGGGATCGGCTTTGGCGATCTTTGAGAGGCGATCCTCTCCAAACTCCGCTTTTTGTCCTATAGCCATTGTGAAGACTTTGTATTTCACACCGGGTCGTTACGTGTAATGAACGTAAAAGAGGCACTTGAAGAGTGGTATTGCGTATCTATTTAACATGCAAGTTCCGCCCCCACAACCCTTTCACCAGACCACACCATTATTTCCATCTCCATCTTCTGAATGCGGGGAAGTTGGCGTTACATCCCACGTCTCTGCGTTTGCCAGGCTCCCAAGACTAACCACTCGCTTAATTTTTATCCTGAAAAAATTTCATTTGGAGCATGTCGCATGGGCCGAGCGAATCAGATGTTCTGGTTGGACTGAGCGGAGGGGCAAACCCCAGACTAGATCCCAGCCGGTGCGTGAGCACGGGAGTTTAAAAAATCATGCGGATCTACAAAGTTCCGCCGGACGATGAGGAGTAAATGTACCAACAAAGCACTCTAATGTGAACAGATGCATTGTTCAACGCAATGAATACCAATTATCTGCTGGTCAGAGAATGATTTTCAACTAGGAACATCTATCTTACAACGGGGTTTTCACTCATTGTGAACAGCGGTTTGACAGACTGCTATTGGAACAAACAAGGACTTTATGCAGGATTCTTTGGAGTTGTACGTGTGAAAGGCTTTGTAGTTTATGCATATTCCTTTTGGGCGGGGAAGGTAGAGGGCCGAGACTGGTTAAGTTGAATGTGGAGGGGAATATTACACAATACCCATGCAAGGAAATTGTCACGCAGTAGTGCCAAAATTACAGCAAGGGTCTGATTATTTAACCCTATATTTATAATATATCTACCCTATATAAGGAATTAATCTATAAGTATATAATAAAAAGCTTAGAAGCTTATAATTAAAAATAATAGGGATTAAAAATAGATCTATAGTTATATATCTATTATATATAATTAATTAAATAAATATTATTAGTATAAATAATATAAAGTTTAATAAGCTTATTAATAAAGCTTAATAGATATCTTAAATATCTATAAAGTTCCTATTCTATAGTTTTTATATTCTAACTTAGTTCTAATTTTATATTTCTTTATAAAAATTATAAATCTAAAAGAATCTTTAGATAAATTAATTAGAATTTTATAATTTCTATTACTATTATATAGTAATTATATTCTTTATTTATTTTATTCTATATTATAATAAGTATTAATTATATTTATTAAATACTTTAATTCTTTATTCTAAAAACTACTCTTTTTTAAACTCTTTATTAAATTTATA